GTCCAATACTATGTTGAATAGGAGTGGTGAGAGAGGGCATCCTTGTCTTGTGCCGGTTTCAAAGGGAATGCTTCCAGCTTTTGCCCATTCCGTATGATATTGGCTGTGAGTTTTCATAAATAGCTCTTATTATTTTGAGATACATTCCAGCAATAACTAGTGTATTGGGTGTTTTTAGCATGAAGCGGTGTTGACTTTTATCCAAGGCCTTTTCTGCATCTATTGAGGTAATCATGTGGTTTTTGTCATTGGTTCTGTCTATGTGATGGATTACATTTATTGATTTGTGTATGTTGAACCAGCCTTGCATCCCAGGAATGAAGCCAGCTTGATTGTGGTGGATAAGTTCTTTGATATGCTGCTGGATTTGGTTTGCCAGTATTTTATTGAGGATATTCACATAGATGTTCATCATGGATAATGGCCTGAAATTTTGTTTTCTGTGTGTGTGTGTCTGCCAGATTTTGGTATCAGGATGATGCTAGCCTTATAAAATTAGTTACGGAGGAGTTCCTCTTTTTCTATTTTTTAGAATAGTTTCAGAAGGAATGGTACCAGCTTCTCTTTGTAATTCTTGTAGAATTTGGCTGTGAATCTGACTGGTCTTGGGCTTTTTTTTGTTTGGTAGGCTATTAATTGCTGCCTCAATTTCAGAACTTATTATTAGTCTATTCAGGGATTCAACTCCTTCCTGGTTTAGTCTTGGGATAGTGTCTGTGTCCAGGAATTTATCTATTTCTTCTAGATTTTCTAATTTATTTGCATAAAGTTGTTTATGGTATTCTCTGATGGTAGTTTGTGTTTCTGTGAGATCAGTGGTGATATCCCCTTTATCATTTTTATTGTGTCTATTTGATTCTTCACCCTTTTCTTCATTACACTAGCTAGTAGTCTATCTATTTTGTGAATATTTTCAAAAACCAGCTCCTGAATTCACTGATCTTTTGAAGGGGTTTTTTCATGTCTCTGTCTCCTTCAGTTCTTCTCTGATCTTAGTTATTTCTTCTCTTCTGCTAGTTTTTGAATTTGTTTGTTCTTGCTTCTCTAGTTCTTTTAACTGTGATGTTAGGGTGTCAATTTTAGATCTTTCCCTTTCTCCTGTGGGCATTTAGTGCTATAAATTTCCCTCTAAACACTGCTTTTGCTGTGCCCCAGAGATTCTGGTACATTGTGTCTTTGTTCTCATTGGTTTCAAAGAACTTACTTATTTCTGCCTTAATTTCATTATTTTCCCAGTAGTCATTCAGAAGAAGGTTGTTCAGTTTCCATACAATTGTGCAGTTTTGAGTGAGTTCTAATTTGATTGCATTGTGGTCTGAGAGACAGTTATGATTTCTGTTCTTTTGTATTTGCTGAGGAGTGTTTTACTTCCAATTATATGGTCAATTTTAGAATAAGTGTGATGTGGTGCTGAGAAGAATATATATTCTGTTGATTTGGGTTGGAGAGTTCTGCAAATGTCTATTAGGTCCACCTGGCTCAGAGCTGAGTGCAAGTCCTGAACATCCTTGTTAATTTTCTGTCTCATTGATCTAATATTGAGGTGGGGTGTTAAAGTCTCCCTCTATTATTATGTGGGAGTCTAAACATGAATGAACTCTCATTCACAATTGCTACAAAGATAATAAAATACCTAGAAATACAACTTTAAAAGGATATGAAGGATCACTTCAATGAAAACTACAAGCCACTACTCAAGGAAATAAGACAGGATACAAACAAATGGAAAAATATTCCATGTTCATGGATAGGAAGAATCAATATCATGAAAATGGCCATAGTAGCCCAAAGTAATTTATAGATTCAATGCTATTCCCATTAAACTACCACTGACTTTCTTCACATAACAAGAAAAACTACTTTAAATCTCATATGGAACCAAAAAAGAACCCACAGGGCCAAGACAATCCTAAGCAAAAAGAACAAAGCTGGGGCATCATACTACCTGACTTCAAACTATACTGCAGGCTACAGTAACCAAAACACCATGGTATTGGTACCAAAACAGAGATAGAGGCCAATGGAACAGAAAAGAGGCGTTTAAAAACGTTTGATCTTTGAAAAACCTGACAAAGACAAGCAATGGGGAAAGGACTCCCTATTTAATAAATGGTGTTGGGAAAACTGTCTAGCCATATGCAGAAAGCTGAAACTGGACTCCTTCCTTACACCTTATACAAAAATTAACTCAAAACAAATTAAAGACTTAAATGTAAGACCTAAAACCATAAAAACCCTGGATGAAAACCTAGACAATACTATTTAGGACATAGGCATGGGCAATGATTTCATGACTAAAACATCAAAAGCAATTGCAACAAAAGCCAAAATAGATTTTAGACTAAAGAGTTTCTGCACAGCAAAAGAAACTATCATCAGAGTGAAAAGGCAAACTACAGAATGGGAGAAAATTTTTGCAATCTATCCATCTGACAAACGGCTAATATCCAGAATCTATAAAGAATTTAAACAAATTTACAAGACAAAAACAAACAACCCCATCAAAAAGTGGGTGAAGGATATGAACAGACACTTCTCAAAAGAAGACATTTATGCAGCCAACAAACATATGAAAAAAAGCTCATCATAACCAGTCATTAGAGAAATGCAAATTAAAACCACATTGAGACATCATCTCATACCAGTTAGAAAAGCAATCATTAAAAAGTCAGAAAACAACAGATGCCAGAGAGGATGTGGAGAAATAGAAATGCGTTTCCACTGTTTGTGAGAGTGTAAATTAGCTCTACTGTTGTCGAAGACAGTGTAGCAATTCCTCAAAGATTTAGAATGAGAAATACCATTTGACCCAGCAATCCCTTTACTGGGCATATGCCCAAAGAATTATAAATCATTCTACTATAAAGACACATGCATATGTATGTTTATTTCAGCACTATTCACAATAGCAAACTTGGAATCAGCCCAAATGCTCATCAATGATAGACTGGATAAAGAAAAAGTGGTACATATATACCATGGAATACTATGTAGCCATAAAAAATGAGTTCATGTCCTTTGCAGGGACATGGATGAAGCTGGAAACCATCATTCTCAGCAAACTAACACAGGACCAGAAAACCAAACACCTCATATTCTCACTCATAAATGGAAGTTGAACAATGAAAACACATGGACACAGGGAGGGGAACATCACACACCAGGGTCTGTTGGAGAGTGTGGGGCAACAGGAGGGATAGCATTAGGAGAAATACCTAATGTAGATGATGAGTTGATAAGTGCAGCAAACCACCATGGCACTTGTGTACCTATGTAACAAACCTGCATGTTCTGCGCATGTATCCCAGAACTTAAAGTATTAAAGAAAGAAGAAAGAAAATAAATTGAGATAGTGAAACAAGCTATAACAAAATCTACAAGCACATTTCTAGTTAGATACACTCCGAATTTATTCACACTCATTCCTTTGATCTCTGTTGGGAATGTCTCTTCCACTCCTTTTAAATTTTGAGATCAGAGGAGATCTGGACACTTAAGCTTCAGAAGGGTCAGAAAAGAGAGGTCATCAATGGTCTACTTCTAATGGACACGACCAGGCATTGCTTCTCCCCCTTTGGTGATCTTCTTTCCCCTTATACACCAGAAGTGATAAGATTTTGGTGACATCCAATTATACTTTGATTAAATCTACTTCTGTCACCAAACCCATTTTCTTAATATAAAATGAAATCATAAACTAAGCTTTTGTCAGAAGAGATCTATACAGTAGTGATGAACTATTTTATAATACATAACCTCATTACATTCATTTTTCATGCCAATTAGCCCGAGTAAATTTTATGTAATATGTAAACCTAACTAAAAAGGGTAACCTTTACTGTGTTTGGTTAAGTTCAGCTTTTATGTTATTAACAATATGTGAAGACAGGAAACCCAACATGTAGTAAAATACATTTTATAAGCAATATACACCATTTAATATTGTTTCTCACTATAAAATCTTTATGGGTTAATAAAATATTTTTGAGATATTTTGTCTGTAAATTTCACAAAGTATTAAATGTTTATATATATGCATATTGATACATAACTGTATCTTCAACTATATAGTTGAATATAAATATATATATATTATATATATAACTGTATTACTAATCTAGTTAACCAGAAAATATATAAATCACTTTCAGCAGATAAGACTTAATGGAATGATAATAACACCCAATGCCTAGTTTCTGACATATATTATTTGTTTGATACTTTTAACTCATTCATAGGGCATTTACTGCTCAGAATTAATCTTTCTTTCATTACCTCATAGCACACAATATGGTTTTCTTATTTTAGTCAATGTTATGCAAGTCTTTACTATTTTAAAAATTTGAATGATCCTTGGGGGCAAATTGCCATGTTGTAAACAGTTGCACCATTCAAAACTATCTTTCAGACTTCAGAAAGATAGTCATGCAAAGGATAATTTTCTAATAATAATACTTGAATTGAGTAAAGGACTCCTCAAATTTCTAATGTCTAGACTTTCAGAATCTTTAGCAATCACATGCCAGGAAGAGATCTATTGGCCCACTATTAACTAACTGATGAATTATATTTGAAGAATCCTGAGAAGTAGGGGGGCAAAATGGTGCTTAAGCATAATCCAAAATATAGTTTAATTTCTGGCTAAAATTTACAAGCAAAAGTGCTACTAATTTTTCTTTTTTTTTTTTTTTTGCCGANTGAGCCACTGCGCCCGGCCCAATTTTTTTTAATTTTTAATTTTTTTATTTTTAGTACAGGTGGGCTTTCATTATGTTGGCCAGGCTGGTCTCAAACTGTTGATCTTAGGTGATCTGCCTGCCTTGGCCTCCCAAAGTAGTGGGATTACAGGCGTGAGTCACTGCGCCTGGCCCTGTAAGTTGATTTCAAAGCAAAATTATACAAATGATTCTTAACCTCTATTATACAATAAAGTTTACTTTAAAGATCTACTTTATGCTTATCCTTAGAAACTGAGGGGGAAAAAAAACTACATTAACAAAGCCGATGACAAAGAATCTTTATTATATGAGAGATCCTATTATCTGATCATATTACCTAATAAATTATATATGAATGTTAACTAATAAAAATCATGTTCACCAATACGCCACATGCATGTAGAGTTTTATTCTTTGAAGACTGCTTCTAAAACATTGCACTAAGTCAAACTGAAAGGTAAAGTTCAAAATAGTTTTTAAAGGATAAAACATATTTAATGACTGTCCACTCTACAAAGTCTTGATCTTACAGCTTATGATACACCCAGTTGGCAGTAGCACCCCCGGTTTTCCAAATAGCCAGTCATCATTTTTCTCTTGTCTGCATAGACTTCTTCTCATTAGCTGCCTTCTGCTTTTGTTGCATGATCTCAGAGTCCCTCTGCTTTCTCTGAGAGGTAGTCAAGCTATCCTCTTTTCTTTTTCCCTTGCTAATTTCCTGGGTTTTCTTCATATTTTTCTGGCGGGCAAGTTCTCGTTGATTTCCACGTGCCATGCCGACCACTGACGGAGCCTGGAAGACAGCAACTCGGAAAACCAACGGCTCCCCGTCAGGCTGGGCTACCGTCACCACTGCCGACCGGGAAAGCTGAGCCCGCGTGGACCCTCCGCCCGGCGGCGCCTCCGCTCAGTTCAGCCAGCGGCCCCGCCCAGCCAGCGGCCCCGCCCACGGAGGCCCGACAGCCTAATTTTTCTTTAAAGTAGTATTTTTCAAAAATGTCATTTCTGATATATTTCTTAATTTAAATGTACGTATTGCTCTGAACATAGATATCTATATTAACTTTGATTTGAAGCACTCGGAATTATTATTATTGTTTCTATTATTACATTTATTTTGCTGAAAATGAACAAGGTAATATAATGCATGTCAACCCAAGTAGTTCTTAAATTCATTTTATAACTGGATAATATGGCCAGACATGGTGGCAGACACCGGTAATCTCAGCACTTTGGGAGGCCAATGAGGGCAGATCACCTGAGGTCAGGAGTTTGAGACCAGCCTAGCCAACGTGGGGAAGCCCTGCCTTTACTTAAAAAAGGACACAAAAAGTAGCTGAGTGTGGTGATGTGCACCTGTAATACCAGTTACTCAGGAGGCTAAGGAAGGAGAATCACTTGAACCCAGGAGGTGGAGATTGCAGTGAGCCGAGATTGCACCATGGCACTAAAGTCTGAGGGACAAAGTGAGACTCCTTCTCAAACGAAATAAAAAAACTATAAAAACTAGATAATGTAAGGGAGCTACACTGTAGGGAACTACATTAGGTCTTTTGTTTTTATGCCTTTATAAGATGATCTAAACATGTTTGTATGTTAACTTACAGATTCATTAATTCTCTTTAGTATACCATTAACATCTTTTGGGCCCATTTTGTTTTCTTACCTGAGCCTCAATATATTTGATTTGTTCATCAGTGACCCTGCAAACTGTCACCATGTTGCATGGGAATATCAGTAAAGTATTCCACTGTGGTGGTATTCTGAGCTATCCAGTAAATATTGTGGATTATTTAAGCAGTTTTTATATATTACACATATTTGTACATTTTATGTGGTTATACATATTTATAAGTTTTTAAAAGAAACATTTTGTTTACTCGTGCAGTTCAAGTTTGCTGGAACATATATATATTTATGAATGTTTTAAACCATGTTACAAATTATATGAATACTCATTTAGTTACTTAGCCCCAAACCCTTAGAAATTGCTTTGGCACTGATGATTACACATTTTATTATGGCAAAGACTTGGCAAAGTTCAACTTTATAAATTATTTTCTCTTTTTGAATAACAATAATAAAGTTTGCTAGCTAATAATTTACATTTTGGTTTTAGAAATCATTTGGGAACTTTCTTTTAAAAAGCAAGTAAGATAGTGATAAAATCATTTCTAATTAGAAATAATTCAAAGCTGCTTGAAGGAAGGAACTTCTAAAATGTTCTGTCTACGCTTTAAACCATAAGCAATATGCTGAGCTTCATTCATTCAGATGAATATTTATTGTTTGCCTACTTTGCTGCAGGTAACTGATTTAAAAACTAGAGATACAATATGAAAAAGATATTCACAATTCTCTAATTGTTTTTGTTTAAATACCATTAAAATTCTCTACTAATTTGATTCATATTAGTACAGCATAATACATATTAGATTAAAACACCTATAAACACTATATTATTTGAAGATATCTTATCATTACCTGATAAGGTCTAGAAGAGTATGTCACTCCAGTTGCCATTATAATTATTTTTCCCCTCTTCTTCATAGCCAACATTTTAAAAGACTTCTCATTACTCATTATTTTCATTGCCTCACCTCTCATTGACAAGAAACAGTCTTATTTGCATTACACTTAGCAGTTCATCAAAACAACTTTAAAGTTTCCAAGAACTTCTTGGTTACTAAACCAAATGGACACTTGTGATCTCTTATCTCCCATGGCCTATTTACTGCCATTGATACAACTCCTCCTTGAAGAAACACTATGCCTTGACCACCCTATCCTAGTTTTCCTTCTGTATCGTTGGATGCTAAAACTGTCTTCTTTGCATTATTGCATTCTATCAGCAGCAAAAATATCTGGGTTCCTCAAAGCTTTGTCCTAGACCATTTAGTTTTCCACCTATCACGTTAGCTCCTGAATTTGCATGACTGGAATGCAAATCAAACCATATGTCAAGAAACAACTGAATATTTCTCCCACCATTATCAATTCCCCCAATCTGCTTATCTTCTTGTATTTTCTTCCTTAGAAATTGGCACCGTTATTTATCCACTTACTTCACCACAAATCTATGACCTTTTCTTATTACCTCACTTTCCCTCACTCTCATTTCTAATTCATCTCAAAATCTTGATTTTTCTCTCAGATTGACCACTTTTTTGCCATCTTCAGCATTATCATCTTAGTGAATACTACCACCATCTCTCATCTGATTGTTTAGTAAGATAACTGATTTAAAAAGATCATTTGTCTATATCAAAAGCAACACTAATAGAGCAAAAGATCCCAAAATCAAATTTTCAAAACTTTAATAATGTAAAATAAATTTGAATAAAATTATTCTTAAAATGTTTACAACAAGCATAATTAAAAGCACATATCTATACACAAGAGCAGAATACATTCCAATAAATAGAGATATGTCTTACAAATAACCAAAAACAACTCAAATTTACTTAAAACAAACAAAAAAAGAAATTGTTTTAAATTTCAGTTGTGTCTCATTAAAACAGTGTACAGTATGGCTTCAAGAAGAAAAGAAATAGGAACTTTCAATTTTATAAATCATTGTGTATTCTTAGGGCAATTATAGCTTGTGCTTAGTTTCCCAATTTTTTCTCTGAGATTCTGAAAGAGTTTGTGCTTATTATTTGGAGTAAAAAAAAAAGATGTAGGCAATTAAATAAGAAATAATGGGTAGATTACTCACTGAGTATGATTGGTAAAGGTTCATCGTGTTATGTGTGAACGCAAATTCCTGGATCTCATTCCAGCATCCTGTGCATTCTAAAATTTATCTTAATATATTTTAATTATCTTCAGACTTAGTGAGCCAGCTTTCTGGTATGCTGACCAAAAGAGGCAGAATATAAGCTTAAATGGGTAGATAGATTTGTGTTTCCTAATTTTTAAGGTAACATGATATGTCATATGAGCCTAAAAAGGTTTCTAGCAGGATCTAGACATAATTTTATTACGTAAACTTATACACCCTAACCCTAACCCTATCCACCCCACTGAGAGCCACCTCCACCATCCCATAAAACTCCACATTCACCATCTTTCAAGTCTGTGTGTCACCTGATTCTTCTAGAATGCTGAACAAGAGCTTGGGTCACATTAGCTCTCTGCCCTTGCAAAAAGGTAGAGTGTCCACTGAGCTGGTTAACACTTAAGCCATCTGTGGACAGTAAGGATAAAAGAGCACACTGTCATGCATGCCCACTTTGGCTCCAGGAGTCACAGGCTCCCACCCCTGGGTGCTGCTGTATGGCCAAAGCACAGTGCCCTGAGCTCCTGCACCTGTCCATCAGTGTGTTCCTGCTTCCATAAGAGGTTAGAGCAGCAGCAGTGATCAATTCACATGTCCTGTGAAGACGTTAGGGAACTCTGCTGTTCAGTAAATTGTCAGCCAGCACCAGGGAGAGAACATTTCTTGATGGTCCGTACCTGCTGCACTGAAGTGTTCATTGATGTAGACACCAGCAAGAAGCAACTTTCCAAGCATTCGCATTAAGAGACAAAATGGCAGAGTATGACCTTCCAGGGCATTCCACTGGAAACAGAAATAAAGCCTCGGATGGGCATCCACACAATTTCCTAAACACACAGCGACATACACATTTCCCAAGGGTAAGGAGGGCACAGCTCATGTGGGCAGTCCACCCTCAGGGAAGAATCATGGGACAGGGGTGCAAGGTGCAGGAAGGGGCCAACCTATAAAGTCCTAAGGTTAAGGTTAAACACTGCACTTGACCTCCACGTGGCTGCTTGGGTCTCTTCCAAGCATACTTTCTTTTCTGTTCTAAAGCCTTTTAAAATAAACTTCCACTCCTGCTGCGAAACTTCCTCCTCTTTTTCTGCTTTATTCCCCTCAATTGAATTCTTTCTTCTGAGGAGGCAAGAATTGAGGTTGCTGCAGACCCATACAGAAACACCACCAGTAACCCTGATAACTTCCACCAGTAGCATTCTCAATTTCACCAACTATTATGAACTCATCAGATTAAATATATTTGATGGCTCTCAATTCATTGCAGTTATCAGAATTGAAGTTCTGATTGTCTATCATTGGCCAGTGAAGCCTCTTCGAGTTTTATCCTGTTTTCATTTGACATGACATTCGCAGCATTTGAAAGCTTCCTGACATTTAGCATCACAGAGTTTCCCTGGCTCATCTTGTACATTTTCTGTCTCTGACTGACAAATAATGATTTCTCCAGGAAGCTATGGCTTTTTTTTTTTTTTTTTAAATTTCAGGGGACATTTAGTTCAGATATAATTTTTAGAGTTTCTTTTATTCCTCTGATTTTGTTTTCACTTTTAGGGACACATTTTATCATATCTTGGATGTTCATTGCCTATCTGTAGTATTTGTCACTTACTTTGAAAACTTAAAAAACTTTTATTTCCTTTTCTTTTTATTTGTTTTTCTTTTTTGTTTTTACTTGGTTTATCTCTGAAGGTATAATCTGTGGTGGTTATTCTATGCAATATTCCTTCTAATTTAGTCTTGATTTCCAAAGTAATTTATTTTCCTTTATTTCTAATTCTTTTCTGAATTATGCCACCTTATTCTGATTTTTATAATTATGATTAATATAATTATCCTCACATATTCATTACTTATACACTTGTTGTGGTTTGAATTGTGTCTACCCTAAAGATATGTTAAAATCCTAACCTCTGTTACTTGTGGATACTTCCTTAATTGAGAATAGAATCTTTGAAGAAATAACCAGATTTAAAAAAAGCCACACTGGATTAGAACGGGCAGTCATCTTATGACCAATGTCCTTATAAGGAGAGGTACACTTTGACACAGACACACAGAGAGGAGAACAGACTCTCTGAAGACAGAAGACAGATACAAAGACACAAACGGAAAAAGCAGTGTGAAGGCTGAGACAGAGACACGCACATTCAAGCAAAGTATAGCCAGCAAACACG